AGCTGGATGTTAGCACCAAGTGCTCACACCCGCTCCTCTGGGTTAAACTAGCCTTCCTTTGCCCGGTTGGCTGACAATCCACACAGCGCAGCCCATGACTCCTTTCCCGGTGTCCCCTTGTGGTGGAGAAGCATAGAAATCCTCTATTTCCAAAGAACAATGTACCCCAGTTTCCTAATTTCCCCTCAGCCCACCCTGCCTGAATCACACACAGCACTTGAGTTCAGTGATAAAGCAAAGGGAAATTGAGTTAAGAAAGAACACAGATGCAAACACAAACCAGGAATAAATGGTTACATTTAACGCAACATCCATTACACTAAAATGTAAACATCTTTAGACAGGGAGAGACTTTTTAGCTAGGTTCTCTCTAATAGCTTCAACCAAGCTTGGTGGAGACCCGCTTTTTCCCAAAACAAACTCACGGGCGCTTTATACTTTCCGGGGTGAAGGATCCCAGGTGGTTTTCTCCCAAAGACACAAGATCAGACCTTTGATGTCCACCTGAACATCAGGCTGTCCTCCACACCGGCTATTTACCTGTTCCTGTTAATTACATCCTTTTTGAAGATTCCACAATCCTTTATTCACAGTGGGCCTCCGCAGGCTGACTATAAAATACTTTACTTAAATATAAACAGACAGTGTTCTTATAGGCCCTAGGATATTAGAGAGACTAGGTGGGTGAGATGATAGTTTTCACTGGACTGATTTCTGTTGGTGAGAGAGAATCTTGTGAGCTTACACAGATCTCTTCCGCAGGTCTGGGAAAGGAACTCCCTGCGTCACAGCAAAATGTAAGATGGAACAGAGTGTTTAGAACATGTCATTAGCACACATTGTAAGGGACCACAAAAAGTACCAATCCTTTTCCTGAAAGGAAACCTGCACAACACTTCCACAAGATGAGCCCGAAAGCTTAAATTCATTACTCAGCTGAATGCCAAAAAACAAAACAAAACAAACAACCAAAAAAACCCACCCCCTCAAAAAAAATCCAAAAACCCAAAACCAAAACAGCCCACTATGGAATGAACACAAACTCTGGATTTATGGCTTATTACAACCATCTGTACCACCACTAAGCTATCTTATTGTCCTATGACTGCTGCAGCAAGCTTAAATTCATTACTCAGCTGAATGCCAAAAAACAAAACAAAACAAACAACCAAAAAAACCCACCCCCTCAAAAAAAATCCAAAAACCCAAAACCAAAACAGCCCACTATGGAATGAACACAAACTCTGGATTTATGGCTTATTACAACCATCTGTACCACCACTAAGCTATCTTATTGTCCTATGACTGCTGCAGCGGTTTTACAAGCCACTTCACCTTGAATAAGATTACAAAGAGTGGGACTGTCCAGCTTG